CTCCCCTCACCCCCCAATATCCCCCAGCCCCCCAAACCCCACGTTACCATCAGCCAGGTGTTGAAGAACCACGCCAAAATTTGAGGTGGGGGGAGCTCTGTAGGTATCCACCTCTCCTACAGTCCCACCTATGTGCATTTTCCCAGGGTGTTTTTTTTTTACTTTTTTTTTTTTTTTTTTTTTTCCTGGGGTGGGGGGTCCCTTGGGAAGTGCAGCCCCAGGGATGAAGCGGCCGAGTGGCAGCTCCGCCGCCGCCGCCTCCTTTTTATAGGGCCGGGCAGGTGATGTGCACACACCTGGAAACTCCAGTCCAGGTTCCTTCCTCCTCCCCGCGGGAGCCACTTCCTTCTCCCTCCCTGCACGTGTGCCAGCCGGGAATTCGGGAGCCTCACACCTCCAGGATTGCGGCACGGAGGTGGCAAGGGGTGTCCGGGGTGTCCTGGTGACACCTGGGCATCCCCCAGGCCGTGCCCTATTGCGTCACCAGCACCGTGACATCACCATCGCATTCCCGGGCAGAAATCCTAAATTGGGCAACGCTGGGAAGGGCTCGAGGGCTGCCATCATCCCTCCAGGATGGCCCAGTGAACTCGGACAGCAGCACTGGGATGCTGGTTCTGTACTGGGAACAAGGAGCAGGGCTGGAGGATGGGGAATTCCAGGGAATAGGGAATCCAGGGACCCCAAAAATTGTTCTCTGGATGAGAGGGGTCTGGCAGAGGTACCCCGGAGGTTCCCAGGAACATTTCACACCAGTAGGATACTGGTTCCATACTGGGAACAAGGAGTCTGGGAAATCCATTGGGACCCCCAAGCATTGCTCCCTAATTTGGGGGGGATTTATCAGAGGAACCCCCCAGTGATGGCGAGCAGGGCAGAGGCTGCAGAGCCCCCCAGTCACACACCAGTGGGACACTGGGTTCACACTGGGTGCTCCCCCAGCAAACAGAGCAGCTTTTCCAGCTCATGCCCCAAAAACCCCCAAAGTGAGGGGTACAGACCCCCCCCACACCCCCCAAGGCAAAGGAGATGAAGAGAAGAGCAAGAAAAAGTAAAACTGGTTATCAAAATACTTTATTTCAGGGAGATCCCTCCAAAAAAAAACCAAAAAAANTAAATTCACAAAATAAAAATACACAGAGCTGTGCACGTGGTGTGTAACTCACACATAAAATCCATGTCACACATGGTGTGTAACACACACATATAAATCTCTCAGAGAACCCTACACATGACATCAAACACACACAGACTTGTGCACACGTAACACACATAAATCACACAGAGAACCTTACACATGACATACAACACACATAAAACATGCACACAGAACCCTAAACATGACAGATAACACACACAAACACACAGAGCTGTGCACGTGGTGTGTAACACAAAATAAACACGCAAAATAAAAATACACAGAGATGTGCACGTGGTGTGTAACACATTAATTAGTCAGAGAACAAATTACACATGACATACAACACACATAAAACTAAAACAGAGAACCCTGCACATGACAGGTAACACACAGAGAAATC